TAATTTTAATAAGAATAAAGAGTAATATTAGAATTATCCCTTGAATATAGGCAACCCAACATACACTAAATGCACCAAAGAGGTTAAATTAACAAAAATTGAATATTTTAAGTAAAAATCTTCATAATAACAAAGTTTTGGTAGTAAAATGATGAAATACTTGCCAAGAACAGTCCAGTTATCACTCTCATGCAGTCCTTGTTTGGCATCCATGAGTTTCGCTTTCATTTTATCCAATTGTTCGATGGAATTAATGGATTTCCCTGTATCTTCTTCAATTTTCGTGATTTCTTCCCTAACTTGTTCCATTTTCTCCTTGAGAGCCAATGCTTCTTGTTGTAGACTCTTACTATCTCTAATTATCTTTGGCATAGATGCTAGAATGTTATGACTTGTTTCTTCTAGCGAATTATTAACTTGTTGGACATAGAGTTGCAGTTTCATCACGAGAGACATTGTATAATTCTAACAATACAAAAAATATGATTATCAAGATAAATTTGATGGTTTAATATGATTTTTTACTTCTTTTTTGTCCATATCGGCATTATTCTTCAATATTTCATTGATCCATGTTTTTGTATCGAAATTTTCATCGGAAAACGCAGTGATATCCTGAAAATTAATGTTAGACATGTGTATTACTAAGAATTATCAATGTTTTTACCATTTTTGTACAATTTTTGTGTTTTTCTGGGCTTTTGATGACGTTTTTCACTTGTTTTGAAACATCACAACACATATAACCTCCATGAATGTTACATGGCACTGTTTTGACAGATTAGACATGATGAAATTTAAATTAATCTTTTTACTCATTTTACTAACAACAAATTGCATATACAATGAATATAATTACAGATAATGCTTGTTGTATATTTCTTTTTCTTCTGCGACTTCTTTACGGATTTCTTGAAGGACTTTTTGGTATAAAAACGATTGCCTGTCAAAAATACACCAAAAAAAATTAATATTTCAACATTTTAAACAAATTTCTTGCTTTACCGATTCGTAGGCTTGCAAATTCCAAGATGATTCAATGGTATTTCGTAGTATTCACCTACTCCAGGATTCCCCGATCGTTTTTCAACGACTTCTATGTTCAACTTAAGCGCTGAAACAATCGTAGGTTTATTTTCGACAAAAGAGAAGATTCGAATTGGTATTCTATGTAAATAATCAAGGAATTCATTGTGAATTCGACGCAAATTCGGTGAATCTTCACGTAATTCTTGTACATCCATTGATGGCCATACTAAATACGAAGTAGTCTGATTCAAAATGGCGGTTTTTGAGCCGGTATGCGGTGTGCTATAGAAAAAAATCGCTTTTGACTGGTTTCCCAAGCTTTGCATCGCTGGATCTTTCGATTTCAACGCTAAAATATCATTTTTAATGTTTTAGTATTGATTTTATGGGTTTATAATCATTTTACCTTTACTAATGACGTTTTTCACTAATAATCCGCCCATAGAGTGCGCCACCCAAACAATTGGACGTTTACCTACACCAGCATCAACTAATTCGGACATTAATTCAGTGCTACGATCTTCCAATGTGACATTATTCGCAATTTCGGGGCACATATGAGCCCACAATGATAATGTCGTGGAATAATTCACTCCTAACACACGTAAATGCGCACAATCCACTGGTAACCAATCACGTGCCCAGCATTGTGTATTTTCATCGCCACGACAAGAATCACCACTAAAATATTATAAAGTTTTATAAGAATATAGTTTAACTTTGAGGTTAAATACTAACTGTGGTACAACATACGGTCCTGTCGCTGTGGCATTCGTATCTTCCGGAATATCAAACTGTACGATTTCATAATCAACTCCGAGATGATCCCATTCGATTTTATCGTGTTCCGCCATCTGCTGGAGATATTCCTGTATTGCAGGATCGCTAGACGCTGTCAAGAGATTTTGATCTTCGAATTTAGACTCTTCCAACCCAATCGACTCTTTGCAATCCACATTAAAGCAGCAGACAAAACA